TCCCGGGGGGCGGCTGCTTGGGGCCGCCCGGCTGGCTGCAGGCCCTGGCGCTGGGCAGAGGCGCGGGCGGCGGCGCCGGGGGCGCGGGGCACGGCTCTCCTGGGGCTCCGTAGTGGCCACCGGGGCCGCCGGGTTCTTGCCCGTGACCCCGCGTGGGTAGCGCCGAGCCGGGCCCGGGCCCGCCGCCTCCGAAGGTCTGCTCACCGAAGTCGGGCCGTGGGTAGAGCCCCGGGGGCTGGAAGTCTGCACCCTGCACGCCTCCGCTGTAGTAGTCGGCGCCCTGCTCGCCTAGGTAGCTGCCCTGCAAATATTCTTCGCACGGAGGGAACTTGGGGTCCACATACTTGGAGTTCACCATATACGAACTCATGGCCATTAATTTCAGAAGGTAGAAAATACTAATTTTTCTCGTGTTGTCTTTTTTTCTCCTTCCATAGGGCCCTCCTACTTGCTGTCAACTGAATAAAGTTGGCGGCCATGTGACCAAGCCAGCCAATAGCAAGGAAGCGAGTTTATCACCGGGTTGGTGAGCATCTCATAATTTTCACAAATTTAACTAAATAACATACGTGTAATCAAGTGACTCGCCATGGCACATTTGAGGGCCCCCGCCAGATGTTAGTGTAGTTCTCCAATTCCCCGCACCCTCATTCCTGGCAGGTAATCCCAGCTTTTGTCTGCCACTGACTTTGTTAACCTCCAGTGTCCTCTCCACTCACCCCCGCTGAAATACAGCCCCCCAAAATGGGTACAGTTCAAGGGGGAATGAAACCCCAACTCTGTCAGGCTGCAGAATGCCAAAAGGCCGGTGGGTGAGGCAGCCTCTGAGTTGGGCAGAGTACCCCAGGCAGGCAGGGCTCCCGCCCGCGGGAACGGGGACTCTGCCATACAAAGGCCGAGTCCCGGCTTTGTCTTCCTCAGGGTCACCCAAAAGTTACAACAGTCTGGCGGGCCCGAATCAAATCAGGCGATGAGTAACTGCCAAGCTTGCTGTGAGTGCCCAGGATGGAGTGCTTTTAGCCAAAGTCGGTCTTACAGGTATGGCAAGACCGCCCTCCACCCAGCTCATACAGCTGAGGGGTGGGCCTGGAAGGTGATGATGGTACCCCCACCTCACCCAGATAGGCTCCAAAGGACCCTGCACTCCCTTTTCCCACGTGGAGTCAACGACCTGTGAGCCTCCTCACTGGACACCCTCTGACCTCACTTCATGCTCCTTGAGGACAGAGTTGGGGCTGGGGCTACCTGGCTTTCCACCTTGCTCCCCAGTTCCCCAAAAGCTAGCCCTTTGGCCCTGCATTCATGCAACCAATTAAGGGTCTACACGGGAACCTCTGTTTAAACGTGAGGGGCTTCGGGGAAAAGGCTCCCCCCGTGTCACCAGGCTCAGTCCATCTTCCTGGAGTCTAAGGTAATAAAACAGAAAGGAAACTGACCCGCACCCGGCTGCCTCTGGCCTCAGCTTCCGACTATGGCTATTTCGGAGAAACATGAAGTTTTTGCATCGACCATATATTCCCCTAGAATCGAATCTGTGACTATGTGGATACCACACAAATTCGGTTCTACAGGGTATATATAGACAACGTTACTACCTCCGGGTTTCACCTAGAGTGGGTACCCAGACCGCTGCCAGCCCCGGCCTCTTCCTCGGAGCCATCACCGGCCCGACGCAGCCACTCGCACTTTCAGAGAGGGTTCAGGTAGCTTGAAGAGCTCGGTGACAATTTGCAGCAACGAGTTCCCCATCCTTGCACCAGGGCCGGAGTTACCGAGCAGCCAAGGAGACAGGACACTCTTCTTAAGAAAGAAAGAAAAGAAGAAGAAATAATCCATCCCAGAAATGGGCGCTTTATTACCCTCCTCTCTAGATCCACCCCCTCCCCCTTATCAAGTGGTATTTTCCAGAAAGGAGCAAATGCCCTCAGTGGCAGGAGAAAAGATGCAAGAGGAGAATATCCTCTGCCCATTCTTCTTCCCAGTGCAGGGGCAAGCCAGGTTGGCTGACAAAGCTAGTTCCCCAAGAGGTCTTGCATTTACCTTCCTGGGCCCTGTGCCGGGCTGGCCTCTCCGTCCTGAGCTGCAGACCCTGCGGCAGGCACTGCTTGCAGGCACCAAGCTGCCCTGGGCTGGGGTCGGCGTGCTAATGGTGAAGGGCAGGGCGAGGGGTCATTCGAAATCATTTACAAACATATCACAAAGTTTCATTATTTTTGCTTTGCCGACAGCAGCACACAAGAGTACAAAAGTTCATGAGTTGCACCCGCCCGCCCCAGTGCCTCAGCGCTGTCTAGGGCTCACCCCTCGGTTTAGGGCACCAAGAACACAGACTCACTCAGGGCCGGGATGGATTTCAGGGGCAGAAGGATGCCCCGGGCTCAAGTCCGGCTTTTGGATCTGTGAGCATAGGCCAGAGGTGCTAGAAAAAAATTTTTTTTGATTGTTTTAATTTCCTCCTTGTGATTCAAAAATTAGTTTCAGCCTCAGCCTTCATCTGGTGGGGTAGAGCAGAGAAACGCCTTTCTGCCTCTCAGCCTGGCAAAATTGGCTGCCTGCTTCTACTCTGCACTTTGCATGCTCCCCACCCCACCCCCCATCCTTTGGTTCCAGTGCTGTGGCTATTTTGTAGGGATTTCCTGGGTGCCAATTCTAACCAGAGTCTGAGGCTGCCCCAAGCCAAATTTCCTTGTTGAAGGGGGTGGTTCCCCCCAACTTCCCCTAATGCCGAGTGCTCCCACATACCCACCTGCCTGGGGACACTGGGCCTAGGCTTTATCCAGACAAATTGGGGGAGCCTGCTGGGCCGGGTGGGGACCCGGGTGAGGGTACACATTTTCATATTTGTTAGACGCTGTGACCTGCATTTCACCTTATTGCTCCACTTGTTCAGACAGGTCAAAGCCAACGAGTTATTGATGAACAAAAGCGTTAAATATTCACCTCCCGCTCAACTGCCCATACAAATGCTTTTGATCTCTCGGGCTTTTTGTGCTGTGTTCAGCTACAGGGTGCCGAATGGGTTTGCAAGCGAAGAGCCCTGGCAGAGATAAGCACCCAGAGCAGGGGCAGCAGCAGGAAGGGGGCAAAACCGGGGTGTCCTGGGGACACCAGATTTTCCAGCCTGGAGCCCAGAGTCGGTTTCACTTAAGCCAGCCTGATTAATAGAGAGGAATTATGAACTGGGTGGTATCTCCACTCCTGGGGGTGAACACAGCCCCCCGGGAACTCAACGAGGCTGCCCATCCTGGAAGGCAAAGAAACCTGGCCCAGAGCCAAGCACCAGTTTCTTCCACCCTGAAGAGAGGGTGTCTCACCAGAGAGGATGGGTGCCTGGCTCCTACCGCCTTCCTTCATTCCATCTCCCATTAAAATAAAGTCATCTCCATTTTGCAGTAAGGGAAGGGTCACTATCTTTTCCTCGGTTCTCCTGCCACTACCATCAACTTAAATGGGATAGTCTTCCTGGAGACCCCACAGGCCTCCTCAGAAATGTACCTGTCTTCCGCGGCACATGCAACTCAGAAAGATCCAAAGTTCTGAGCCCAGGACCCCAAGAATCTCTGCCCCCACCGCAACTCTACCACCACTACCACCACCAAAACCACGTTTGCTTGCAACACTAGCGGCTCTGGCGCGAAAATTCTCGAATTGCAGTTACAGAGAAACAGAAGTGAACCAGAAGCTTCGTATCTCTCCCTCCTTGCTCAGCCCGTGTCCCCAGCCCACAGCCCAAACGTCTGGAGCTGTGGCCGGGGGAGGGGCGAGGAGGGATTTCCACTTACAGCTCAGAATTCGCAGCCCTTCCTTCCCGGAAGCGGGCCAACTGCACACACCCGGAGCCGTGGAGGGTTACGTTTTTCTTTCTTTCCTTCGTCTTTTTATTAAAAACAAAAGAAGAAAAGAGAAGACTGCGCCAGGCTGGAACGGGTTAAGCTAGGCTGGGGGGGGGCGGAAGAGAATCGCATTGCTTTGGTGTTTAGCAGGTTGGTTCGAGCAGAAAGCGATGCTCGCCGCAACTTGTTAATGGAGCGGGCTGCTAATTAGCTGCAAGCTCCTAACAGAAGCATAGGCTGCTGCGGAGCTGCACCTGTGCGAGCTGGGGAGGCCCGGGGAGGCCCAGAAGGTCCAGAGAGGCCCAAGGAGACAAGGGTGAGAGCCTGCGGTGTGCTCTCTTGGATAGGTGACTGTGAACTAGGCCCCAGAAAATCCATCCAGGAGCTCAATCAACTTAGAGCCTCCAACCCGGGAGAGAGCTTCCCTTGCACCGCCAGGCCAGGGCAGTCAGGGCCCTTCTTCCACCCGCCCACTCTTCTGGCGCGGCCCTTCTGCCGACACCTCCCCAGTTATCAATACCGCCTCTTCGCATTTCGGAAGAAACGGGAAGGTACTTACAGCCGCAGCCTCTCATGGTCCCGAACCTGTTGCAATGAAAACGGGGGTCACTTAAATTCCACAGGATAATGAAGCAGAGGTAGAGGATACACAGAAAAATGACAAGGCCCAGACACCCCACCAATACCCAGACCTCCCTGCTTCGGGTGCCGCCCCCAGGAACTGCGCCAAGTTCTCCGCGGAGCGGAGCGGGAGACCGCAGTCCTCAAGGGCAGACCCGGGGAGTAGCAGAGTATGGTCCCCAACACCTCCCCCACTCCATGCACCCTTGGGCAAAACCTTACTGGTTGCTTGGCCAGACTGGGGCTGCCTGTAACAGGGTTTCCCCAGTGGGAAAACGGGAAGCGAGGAAAAAAATGGGCCTTTGTGTTTTTCCTTCTGCACAATCAGCCGGGTGGGCGCAAGTCCACTGGGGAGGGGGCAGCCGCTGCATCTGTCCCCTGCCCCAGCGCCCTGTCTGCCTCGCGCTGGGAGCAATTCAACCCCTTTTGCCAGTTTCACATTAGTTTCAAATTCCTCAGCCCCAACTAGCGCCCCCCAAACCTGTCTTCTCCTTCCCAAAGAAGGACCAGGCATGACTGGGACTTGCCTTCCCACTCCTGCTCCAATTCAAAACAAAGAGCAATTTCCAAGGGAAATGAGGATTCAAATGATAACGAAGGAGGAGGAAAATCGATGGGTTTGAAGGTAAATGGCAATGCTTTAGATTGTTATGCAGCTCTATGGACCGGGCAGTATTTTGTCAGTATTGCTTCTGGAGAGCCCACAAAGCAAAGCGGTGATCCTCACAGGGGCTGGTGTCCAGCTTTAAGTGTTCATCCCTTCTATGATGGCAGTCTTCCCTGAGAAGTCTCAGAGGCAAAGCCATCTCCATCCTTATCCTTTCTCTCTCTCTCCCCCCCCCCCCCCCCCCCCCCCCCCCCCCCCCCCCCCCCCCCCCCCCCCCCCCGCCACTCTCTCCACCTAGACTACCACAGTTTCATTCCCGTCTGAAGCAGATGCTCCATTATGAGGAAGAGAGAGACAGTAAGTCCCTTTTGTGAGGTAGGAGCCCTCAGTTCCTAACTTTCTATGTCCCGAAGGGAGGGGAAGAGCCCAGGAGTCCCATTCTATTTGTTAATTTAGGTTTAGGCTAAAATGAACATTAATTTCGATGGGACTTCTCCTCACCCCAGGCAGAAAAGACAAGGCAGAGAAATCTCCCACCCCTGGAGTTGTCCTGGAAAAAGTAGTAAGTGACTTACTGTTTTTTTCTCCCAGTGGGCAGGGGAACTGGGAGTCAAACTGTCTCCTTCTGAGCCTGGCGCTAGCTGGAGCCTCTCACTTCCCTATCGCTGCTCCAAGAACCAAGCATCTGCACTTGTATGCTCTTAACCTAATTTATGGTGGGAATTATATTTTGGCTTGTCAACTCTCAAGCCATAAAACAAAGTTTATTGGAATCACGTGCTCGTAAATAGCCACTCAGGTCTCATCTCTGCACAACCATAAATAACCTTCGGCTTTAAACTTTTATTCACTAAATAAAGGTTCACTGAAACTGTTCTCTCACACTTAAATAGTTCCAAATATTCAGGATGCAAGGGGGGTCATGTTCATATCAATACCCTGGGCTTTTCAAATAGCATCTTTTCAGAGAAGTCTCTTTAAGTTGGGAGATAGGGCTATTTCGAAAAGACTGGTTGGTGGGCATGTCTTATGATTCTTTGGCTGCATTCACTGTGAGTACCATCAGCTCCTTTATTTCAATCATTTTCTAGCTCTAGATGTAGTAAATAAAGAGGAAAATCAAAGGTTACCTCTTACTTGTTTATACCAGAAGTTATTTGAGATTTTGTTCAAACTTCAACAGAAAAAGGGTGGTGAGGGAGAGGCTGGGTGGGCTTGTGGGGGGCAGTTGGAGTTAACACTTGGATCTGTATTGTTGTGGATGGACTCAGTGAGAAAGGTGAAGGTAGCCACATGCCTAGAGGTTTCTATAATTTGCTTAGATCTGAAAGGGGAGCCTTTGCAAGTGACCAAACTGCTTAAAACAGCAAGACTTGGGGTTTGGTAAAGTGAGAAACTGGAGAATAGCCCCATCGGAATCTTTGGCAACTGAAGCTCTAAAGAAGGTTATAAAACAATAAAACAGCCCTGGTGTGAAGGGGACAGGGTGTGAGGAAGCAAATGAGGCTCTCAAGGAACCCAAGCCCAGGAAGTCAGATGTCCCTACTCCCACAGGACTCGAGTCCCTGAGCCCAAACCTGAGCACAAAGCTACACCCCCACGCCGCCACTCCCACTGGAGGGAGAGCCTAAGAGAGGAGGAGGGAGTGCACTTTCCTGCTGAGAAAGCCCAGAAAAGGAGCTTGGGCCTGAGCGCTGCTCTCCAGGAGGATGTGACATTCTGTGCTGGGCAAGGTGGGGGTGGGAAAGATGCCCCCAGCTCCTACCAAGGGGGGTAAATAAAACGAGAAGTGACCCCAGCACCCTTCCATAGCCCGCCAGAGTTTCCACCAAACAGTGTGAAAATACATGTGTTTTTGACTATTCTGGTTTAAAAAGCATAGGTGTTATGTGTAGGTTTGTAAAGCCCACACACATATGATTTCTAAGTCAACTTCAGTTGCAAAAGCTCTCATCAGCAAGTCCAACCAAGCCCCTGAAAGAAACCCCTCTCTACAAAGATCTCTTTGCATCCTAATTTCTACCCATTCGCTGTGTATTTCTAAACCCATTTCCTGGTTTGACTTTCATTAGCTGGAAAGCCGGAGCTGTTAGCTCCGACCTACCTACCGTAGGACATTTTTTCTCCCCCCCCTCCCCCATTAGCCACTCAGGACGACCTTTTTCTTTTACAGTTGGTAGCATCTGTTTTTAAAGTATGAGCAAAGATCGACCCTTTAAAAACTGATTTCTGATTCTGTTAGGACTAAGTGAGCAGTTTCAAAATAAGTCCCAGTTAATCCACTGTAAAAAAATAATTAGAATTTGAGAGGTTGAGAAAAGCTTTATTTCTCCTTAGGTTAATAAAACAGAATTAATCAAAGGATATATGACTTTCCAGGCAATTGTGATGAGCTTTTCATGGGGGGTGGGATATAAGGAGGAGACCAGGCTGAGGAGGTGGTTGAAACAATGCCGGGCGCCTAGTCCGGGCTCAGTAGATATTTTCTGAATGAATGGTAATGAAGGATGGTGACTGGGCTTGCAGTCTTTACTGCGGCTTACACAGGAAGATTAATAAAATGACACAGACTACTCTGTATATTTAGATAATAACAGGAAAGTAACTAGCTATGCATACAGAAAAGGAGGAAAGGAAGACATTAAGGCAGACATCTTCAATTACTTTCTAATCTTAGAGCAGCCAGGAACATGATTAAGGAGAGAGTGTCCACCTTCCTACAGTCTTTGCTTGCCCCAGGGTCCCCAGTGTCCCAGGTGTCTGTGAATGAATGAGAGAGTGGGGATGGGGAAGAACAAACTTGATCTAATAAAAAGACTGAGCATCAGGGGTAACAACATACTAACTTGGGCCAGTTTGCTGGAGTTTTCTCAAGGAGTTTCAATGGTGGTGTTGGTGCTGGTAACGGAAGAAGAGGTGGGGAAGGAGAGGTTGAAGCCTTCTTTACAACTTGTAAGGAATTAGTTTTGGGGGAAAGTGGGACTCTGGGCACTACCCCTCCCCATTTGGCTAGAAAGAGCCAGTCCTGGGAATTCCTGCCCAGAGAGCTCCCATGAGGTAGGGTCCCGTGTAGGACTCCACCAACCTAGAAGCCAGAGCAGCTTTTCCAGGAAGGAGGAGAAAGTGAAGGCGCACCAGCAGGTGTCAGCTATAGTCCAAATGTAATGAGGCCTACCCTCTGCCCACCCTAACAGTCCTTGCTATGTGGCTCCAGGAAAGAATATTCTGACATTGACTTTTAAGAGGCCTCTTGCCCAGAGGTATTGTTGAGCACTCCTCTTTTTTTTTTTAATGTTTATTTTTGAGTGAGCGAGCGAGCGAGCGAGAGTGTGTGTGTGTGTGTGTGTGTGTGTGTGTGTGTGTGTGTGTGTATGAGTGGGGGAGGGGCAGAGATAGAGGGGTACAGAGGATCTGAAGCGGACTCTGCACTGTCAGAACAGAGCCCAATGTGGGGCTTGAACTCATGAACCATGAGATCATGACCTGAGCCAAAGTCAGATGCTGAACTGACTGAGCCACCTAGGTGTCCTGTCTCCTCTTAAGCTAAGTGTCTGCATAACCAGGATAGGTAGGCATGGGACTTTGAATGAAATCCCTAGATGGGGGGCAGTTGGAAGAAGGAGACTACACAGGCCTGGCACTTAGGAACACAGGATGGGGGTAGAGCCAGAGAAGGGCTGAGCAGGAAGTCCCGAGCAGGAGAGAAATAATGATCCCATATTCCTGGCCCTGTATTCTATCACTGGAAGAGGAACACTTCTCCCACTACCCTCACCCCTACCCCATACAATGGAGTCTTCTCATTGGAGGTCTGGCTTGGTGTCCTCTGGGAAGAAAAGGTGACCCCAGAAGAAAACTCCAATAGTGAGAGATGGGATCCAAAAGAATGGGCCCTGAGACAGGATCTCTGATGATGAAGCCGGGAGCGACAAAGCCCCCAGTGGCCCCAAGAAAGGGAGGGTCTGGGGTGGTCACCTTAGTACTTTGAGAAACAAGAGTGGAGGTTAGATGGCACAGGGGTTGGGTGTGGCTGGGAATGCAGCACTGCCCTATGCCATGGGCCAAACCTCATCTGACGTGGTTGATAGCTAAAGAGACCATGTGTGTTTTGAGAGAAAATCTGACCCAGATGAACTCCTGGTTAAGCCAAGAGAAGCAGTTTGGCCAATGGCTTCGGAGGCCCTGTTAGGAAAAATCTGTAAGTATAAGTCATGGAAGCCAGGACTAAGGGGGTGGAACCTGGTTACAAGGGGTGTGTGCGTGTACATGGGTTGTAGCACTTACATAGCTCTTCTTAAAAGATCTAAGGAATCTCAAAAAATT